CACAAATTTGGCCCCTCAGGTGAGTTATCCAGGTACAAGGCCCGTTGGGTGGTTCGCGGTTTCAATCAACGTTTTGGCGTTGACTATGACGAGACCTTCAGCCCCGTTGTCAAGCCTGCCACTGTCTGTATTGTCCTCAGCCTTGCTCTGTCTCGCGGATGGCTCATTCATCAACTTGATGTCAAAATGCGTTCCTTCATGGTCAGCTACAGGAGACCGTTTATGCCAGCCAGCCTTCCGGGTTTCAGGATCCCACTCGCCCTCACTATGTTTGCAAACTCAAGAAGGCTCTCTATGGCCTTAAACAAGCCCCTCGCTCTTGGTTTCACATGTTTGCAGGTTTCATACAGACTATCGGCTTCCGAGGATGTAAGGCCGACACTTCCCTCTTCTTCTTCTCTCAGCCCATGGGCACGGCCTACCTGCTCCTTTATGTTGATGACATTGTACTGACGGCATCCTCCGCTACACTTCTCCAGAGTCTCATTCAGCAGCTTAAGGCTGAATTCTCCATGACAGACATGGGTGACCTGCATTTTTTCCTCGGGATCAATGTGCATCGTACTGCCACTGGCCTCTTCCTCCACCAGACTCAGTTTGCCCATGACATTCTTGAGCGGGCAGGGATGGTCTCCTGCCGACCCATCTCTACTCCAGTGGACACGAAGGCAAAACTATCTACCACAGCTGACTCGGCCCTCTCCGACCCCTGTTTTTACAGGTCTATCGTTGGCGCGCTACAGTATCTTACATTCACTCGTCCTGATATCACATATGCTGTTCAGCAGCTCTGCTTACATCTTCATGCTCCACGTGATGTTCATCTTACTGCCATGAAGCGCGTCCTACGCTATCTCAGATTCTCAGTGGCACCGCCACCCACGGGATCCAGTTGACACGTTCAGCCACAAACTACCTACAGGCTTATTCTGATGCAGATTGGGCTGGTTGTCCCGACACTCGACGTTCCACATCTGGTTACTGTGTCTTCCTGGGTGATAATCTCGTTTCCTGGTCATCCAAACGCCAGGCTACCACCTCTCGTTCTAGTGCCGAAGCTGAATATCGGGCAGTTGCCAATGCCGTAGCAGAGACCTGCTGGATCCGGAACCTTCTTCTTGAGCTACAACAGCCACTTCGTCGCGCCACAATCGTCTTCTGTGACAATGTCAGTGCTGTGTACCTATCATCAAATCCGGTGCAACATCAGCGCACCAAGCACGTCGAGGTTGATATACACTTTGTACGCGATAAAGTGGCGCTTGGTCAGATCAAAGTTCTCCATGTTCCTTAATCTTCTCAGTTTGCCGACATCATCACGAAAGGACTGCCCTCCCTCTTATTTCTTGACTTCAGAGAGAGCCTGGGTATCTGACCCCCAGCACATCCGACGTAGCTGGGAGTATGTTAAATATATAAATTATATTTAATATTATCGTATTATGATTTGTATCCATAGTTGTATAATTTCCTAGAATATCTCTCCTACCATAACTAGGATTGAGACTTTGTATATATATATATATATACATGTATTCCTCTCATAATTCATCAATGAAAATTCCACTTCTTTCAAAAAGTGTATAATATGAATATCATGGTTGGAGTAGGGATAAAAAAAGTTAGAAGCTAAGACACTATTGAGGAGCTAAAAATGACGTTTAGCTTCTAATTTTTTATACTATTCCTTGGAGTTCTCTCAATAGACCTACAAGTTTATATTAATACCAAATAGTATCACACCTATGTGTTGCACGGGTCATAGTTACGTTACTAAATTAAGATCATTTTTAAGAATATAAATTGGTAAATATTGGAATGTAGAGATTTCATCATTTTAAAGTACAAAAATAAAATGATTTTCCAATTTTCAAAGACTTCTTTATAAACTACATTACTAGTATAATTCGTGTGAGCATTAACTTTGTTGTATATCAAGATCTTCAAGCCATTGCGATTTATTACTACTGAAACTGCAACATACAGTTGCCCATGACTAAATATAGATTTCCATAACAATAATTCAACATGTTTCAGATATTGTCCCTCACATAAATTCAATAATTTGACTTATCTACGCAATAATTCAACATATTAATGTATTTATTTTGGAATTTCTAGTTTTTTAATTTTATTTTTGTATTTAAATGGTACCACTTACTTACCCTACGGTATTTATTTTCTATTTTATTTTAGATCACTTACCATTTTTGCACATGTCCATGCTTGTAAATTATAGTATTAGTAGTATTAGTTTTAGAATACTTACCATTGTTACATGTTTCCATGCTTATAATATTAATAGTATTAATTTATAATTTTTTTATTTCTGCATTAAAATGGTACCATTTACTTACTATACTATTTTTATTTTTAATATATTTTATAACACTTACCATTTTTACATGTTTCCATGCTTGAAAATTGTAGTATTAATTAATAGTATTAATTTGTAGTTTTTATATATTTTTTTATCTTTAAATGGTATCATTTACTTACCGTACCATATTTATTTTCTAATATATTTTAGGAAACATACCGTTTTGATATTTATTTTATTTTCTAATTTGTATAGAACACTTACCTATTTTATTTTAGAACACTTAACATTTATTTTATTTTTGTATTAAAATAGTACCATTTGCTTATCGTGCTGACGTACCGTACCATATTTATTTTCTAATTAGAACACTTACCTTTTTTAAAACATTTTCACGTTTGTAAATTATAGTATTAATATTAATTTTGCAATATTTTTATTTTACTTTCGTATTTAAACGGTACTAATTACTTACCAAACCACATTTATTTTCAAATTTATTTTAGAACACTTGTCATTTTTAGATGTATTTACTTTCTCTTTTATTTTAGAACACTTACCTAATTTATTTTAGAACACTCACAATTTTTTGTTTTCGTTTTTAAATGGTGGCATTTGCTTACCGTACCATACCGTATTTATTTTCTAATTTTCTCATTAGAACACTTATCATTTTTAAAACGTTTCCATGTTTCTAAATTATAGTATTAATGTTAATGTGTAATTTTTTATTTTATTTTTGTATTTAAATGTTACCATTTACTTACCGTACCATATTTATTTTCTAATTTATTTTAAAAAACTTACCATTTTTACACGTTCGTGCTTGTAAATTATAATATTTTTTTGAAATAACTAATTAATTTGTACGTAGTTTTTTTTAAAATAAATCATTCTAATCCTGCCCATACTTTATTAATTTGTAGTTTTTTTAATTTTATTTCCATATATAAATGGTACTGTATTTTATTTCCATACTATAATTCTCCAGTGGTTCACTACTATTTAATTTATTTAATTTAATTTAAATACTTAAGTGGTGTAACATTGAAATAAAAATGAAAACATACTTAAAATGGAATGAAAATATTGA